AATATTTAAAGAAAATAAATAAAATTGCTTAAATAACCTTCAAAGCACTGACTAAGTACAATAAATCACTGCGAACATAAATCGTATACACCCCCCGGAAAGTTTACTCTATGACTGACTGACTGACTGTTTGACTGACTGACTGACTGACTGACTGATTCGCGTGAATTCGCCAGCCATCACAACAGTGTGAAGTGAAACTTCACACTAAAAATGACTAGCATCGTCAGAAAGCTTACAAAAACCTACATATAAGGCATTTAAACAGTTTTTTTATATCTAAAATTGTTTTCCAGTTATACACTGTCAAAACGCGTTTTTGACCTTCATAATGACATTCTAAATTACCACAACGACACATTTTATAAATTATTACCGAGTATAAAAGAGAATACAAGTAAAACAAATTGATTTAAAAATACTTTATATTTATACCACACATAATTCCATGATGTACTTTAAGTGACTTATATCTAAACATTTACGTAATTCAACCAGAAGCCCTATAGGTTCCATTTTCTAACTACTAATAAAACTCACTATCTAGTATCTATCTATCAAGAATAAAAGAAGTCTCGAGCGGTTTGACACATTATTTATGGTAATCTGCTATGTTTCGGAAACTTTCGTTACTGTCCGCCAGTACTATTTCTAAAGGTATCATATTAAAAATTAAATTCAAAGGAATACTCAAAGTGTGTTTAGAGAAATCCTATCTCATAAGATTCCAGTCCATGTCACTAAGAACACTGCTCAAACCTTCACTTTCTATAACATTCATTAACAGAGACAAACTTTCCTCCTCATCATTGACTTCGGGATTTTCCATAACATCCATAGCACCTTGGATGCCTGTCAATTGCTCCGTTATTATGCCAGCAGCTGGAATATTCTGCTGTTCACTTGTACTGTGAATACCACCAGTTAACTCGACCTGGTTAACTTTCCTGTAGTCCTCCAGAGCGGTTGCATTACGCGGGGAACTCGTGGGATCATTTGGAACAGTCGGCTGGCTATCTTTTGGTATGTGAACATTTGGCACTTCGCGGACTGGGAACTACTGCACGATGAGTAAAAGAAAACACAATAATAATTTATAAATTATGTGATGATTGTAAATACAGTAAATCAGGTTTATGATGGAGATTATAAGAGTGGAGGAGGTATTGTAGGAAGATTTCAGGCTAACGAAAGGGATAAATTGAAGCATGCATATAGCGGCAAATTTGACTTATACCCGGATGTAAAACCAAGAAATTATTATTTTTTATTTTTTGGCTATAATTCAAGTATTCAATCCTGGTGGTATCAACCGTCTTGACTGTTTTACATTTATTTGTGACAAAAAAAATTAACGAATTTCCGCTTTATATCGTGTAAACGGATAAAAATTTAGACGTGCCGAAGTCACGAAGAAAACACTAATCTTTAAATCTAGCTGGCATACTTATGTAAATAAGTAAGATAAAATTGGGTTAGCTAGCATTTTAGGAAAAGCAGGAATAAAGTAGGAAAAATATAGGGCAAAAGTAGGACAAAAGTTGGAACCAGAAGCAGTACTAACATGCGGTGGCCTTCAAATAAAACTTTTCGCCTCCAAGTAAAGTTTATATTCAAGATGAAGAGAAAAGTGAGATGAATCCGTTGGGATACGGATCATCATCTCTGTGTGAAGTTTGAGTTAAATTTTGACTTTGACCCATCATTTAACTTTTTCAAGAGGAAGTGGATGAGTTTTCAAAGGAGGTGGAACAAATCTCATGGGGGGTGTCCCCAGAGCAGCATCGCGCAAAATACGGCCAACACTATAGGATATATGAAGTCTACCGATACCCCCCAACAAACTAATTAAACTTACATTCTCAATTGCTGTCCCACTTTCTTAGCTCCTTCAGCTATCACCACACCAATATCACTAGGGACGTTAATCTGTAGCGAGTCTCCAGGTTTACTTTTGCTTGTATTTAAACCACGTTTCCTCTGGGTTTTTGCTGTAAAATATACATAACTATGTCTGAAACAATAAGAAGTCCGAACAGAAAATATATCTATACTTGCGGCTTGAAAATTGTATCTACAAGGGACAAGCGCAAGCCGCTGATAATGTTTTGGTATAATTCGGGTAGAGATTGAAGATAGATAGATAAATAGATAGATAGATAGATAGATAGATAGATAGATAAATAGATAGATAGATAGATAGATAGATAGATAGATAAACTTTATTTAGGTACACTAATCTCATTCAACATTAAGCTGATTTCCATGAGAGCTGTGCTGGCTAACTGTTACAATTTTAAGACTAATTTACTACTACATACAAACTATTATTATATAAATGCTATTAAATATTCACTTAACTATAAACTACTTAACTTAATAATTGGGAGGCCGAGGAGAAAAGGTTTTTACAAAACAAGTTGTAAGATATCGAATTTCGTATATTTTCTGGTATTCTATTGCATAATTTAGACCCATTGTAACTGAAACTTTTTAAAAAAAATTCTGTCCTGGGCCTTGGAATAAAAAGCCCAGTTGAAGAACCTCTTAGATTATAACTATTAACAGTGTTGGAAAATTGGAAAATGTTACACAGTCTTTGTGGAGCTAATTGATTTACTGTTTTGTACATGAGTTTGCCCTTCATTAATGCTCTACGTTCTTCAAGAGATGTCCAACCGAAAGCAGTACGAGCTAAGATAGACTGTCCATGCTCATTATTAAAATTCATAATTAATCTAGCCGCTCGATTCTGCAATTTTTGAAGACGTTCGCCGAGGCCTTTGCCAAGTTCATCCCAAACCTCACAACAGTAATCAAAATGCGGCTAGATCAATGCATTGTACACCAGCACTAATGTATCTCGGTCTACAAATTCTTTAAGTTTTTTTTAACGCACCAATCCCCGAAGATACTTTACTAGCGATATATTCAATATCTTTTTCCCAGTTTAGGTTCTCGTCGACTTCAACTCCTAGCACTTTTGCGCATTTTACTCTTTTGATTGGACATGTGTCGATCTTAACTGTGGGTTGGACATCCATGCTATTAATCTTAGGGCGTGATCCAATCAAAATATATTCCGTTTTCGCAATATTTAAGCTAAGTCTGTTTGAAGACAACCACACTTTAACATTTTTCAAGTCCTTATTCGCTATCTCTTCTTCTTCATTTAATGTCTTACCCACAGCTGTAAGGCTGGTATTATCTGCAAACATCCTTGGTGTTGTATGTTTGAGACAATTTGGCAAATCAATTATATGGATAATAAACAGAAGAGGGCCAAGTATACTTCCCTGAGGGATGCCGCAAGTTATTCCTCTCTGATCTGAAAGCATTCCATTTAGCTGACATCTCTGTGTTCGATTTGTTAAGTAATTACTTAGTAAATCTAGGTCTTTATTACCAAAGTCATACCGTTCGAAATACGTAAAAGAATTTCATGGTTGACAGTATCGAATGCTTAATTCTTTAAATCGAGAAGAACTATGTTGTATAGGCCACGGTCCATGTTAATATACCATTCATTAGTACAATCTAAAAGTGTGGTAGTTGTGGAAAGAAATTGTCTAAAACCAAACTGATGTTCTGAAAGAATATTCTGTTTCTTTAAAAAATCATATATTTGGTCGTACAGAATCCTTTCCATCAGTTTGCTGACTACAGGTAAAATTGAGATCGGTCTATAGTTGTCTAACATAGCCCGTCGGCCTTTTTTAAAAATTGGAGTTGCTCGTGCTACTGTCCACTCCATCGGGAATCTGTCAGCGGCAATAGACATATTAAAAATCCTTGTTAAAGGCTCTGCAATGGCAGGAGCTGCAGCCTTTAGCACTTTAGCTGAAATTTCGTCAATACCTGTAGCTTTGGAGATAGTTAATTTGGTTATAAGCCTACAACCTAACCGCAAATCTCGCGCTGGTGGAGCTCTACTCGCTGTTAAGTCGTGCTCATTTTCAACATCTCGCGAAATCAATTTTGACACCGATCTAGACCTGGTCACGGTTGAGCTAACTTCGAAGTCGACACGAAATATCTGTTATGCTGCTGTTACAAGTCCCAACAAAATGTGAACAGTCAATGGCTGGGAAAATTTAACATTTTCCTCTACAAGTCTTGTTCCCAATATTCGAACATGCTTGTATGCGTCGATTTTAATTTCCCGAAGATCTTATGGAAATCTCTGGAACTAACAACAGGTGTTGATGAAGTCCAATTCACTGAACAATTGTATGATTACCACCTAACGCAGCTGAATACATTTCCGACACGAGGGAATAATGTAAGCAAGCTGCGTGTTCACCTGTTGGAACTAATTAATACCTCACAACATGGATTTATCCCAGGCAGATCATGTACCACCCAGCTGGTTGAGGTGCTCAATTCCATTGGTTCTCTGTTAGACTCGGGTAAACAAACAGATATTATTTTTATGGACATGTCTAAGGCCTTCGACAAGGTCAGTCACGCTGCGCTTATCGCCAAACTTGAAAGATACAATACCAGTGGATCTCTGCTTGATTGGTTTTCTTCTTATCTATATAATCGTCGACAGCGCGTTACTACTCTTGGTGCAACGTCTTCTAAAAAACCAGTGTCTTCGGGAGTACCTCAAGGCAGTATATTAGGCCCCATCCTGTTCTTCCTCTATGTAAATGACCTACCTGATGTTGTCAAGAACTCAAGTGTTGCCTGCTTTGCTGACGACACCAAGATATTTCGTCGCGTGGATTCTATCTGTGATGCTGATTTACTCCAAACTGATCTGAGTATCTAGACAGTTGGTCTACCTCCAGTGGTCTCGTCTTCAACCAACTCAAGTGTAAATGTCTTCGTGTAACGAGGAAAACCCAGCCCGTTCTTTATCCGTACACGATCAAGGATAACGAACTTACAACATCAGCCGAAGAGGACCTGGGAATTTGGGTTTCTAGTGACCTTACGTGGACCAAGCACGTTCTGGAACGTTGTACAAAAGCAAACAAACTGTTAGGTTTCGTGAGGAGAAGCGGTAGATAAATAACAAACACAAGGACTCGTCGCACACTTTATCTGTCAGTAGTTCGCCCTGTTCTTGCCTATGCAAGTCAGGCATGGTCGCCCCAGTCCATAGGTCTCAACAAACGAACAGAACGTATCCAGAGAAGAGCTTCCAAGTTCATACTGAATTTTCCCTTCATGTGTAGTGAATCTTACCGTGATAGGTTGATCACTTTAGAACTGATGCCGTTATCGCACTGGCATGCGTACATGGATCTTGTGTTCTTCTTTAAAGCTATAAATGGTCTGGTTGTTATATCTGAAGATGTTCTCCCTAAACCGATAATCCCCACGAGAGTAACTAGATCTTCCAGTGCCAGTGAGTTATCCTTCGGCCCCCAAAATGCAGGACAAGGACTTTCCAGCGATCGTATATTACTCGCGTCACGAGAGTATGGAATTGTCTTCCAACAGATTTAAGACAACCAAATTTAAGTTTAAGTACATTTAAGAGTTTATTACGACAATATTATTCGAAAGCCCTGCACTGTTGTTTTGATGCAGAGGACTTCAGAACATGGAGATCTATATGTTTAAATTGTAACTCTTGTCGAAGTTTGACCAATGTTATAAACTGTTGTTTCTAGATATCTGTATATGTAACCTATATGTTAAAAGGGCCCGGAGTAATTGGTTTTAACTGTTGTGGTGTTCCCGCCTTTCGTCACTTGTATAATATTGTATTTGTATTGTATGCATGTCATTTGTGTAATTTTACCTGGCGAAGTTGAATAAATAAATAAACTGTTGCAACATTTACAGGTTGGAAAATAAATCTCTCAACTGGTTCATGCTGAGGAATGAGATCTCGAAAGCTACAGTTGTGTTCGTATTCAATTTTTCAGCAAGTTTAGGACCAACATCGGTAAAATAATCATTAAAAACATTAACCAGTACACTGTACTGGTGAGTACACTAGTTGATGTGACTGTTTTCTCTGGTAAATTAATTTCATTAACAATATTTTGCTTCTGACTTCTTCCTAGTATCTCATTAACTGTTTTCCACGCATGTTTTGGGTTCGTTTTGTTATTGAGGAATTTTGTTGCATAGTATTCCCTTTTAGCATTTCGTAAGGCAATATTTGCAGCATTTCGAGATGACCTGTACAGCTTCCAATCATTTTCATTATTGTTTTTTATTGCTACCCGCTGAAAGTGGTCTCTCTGAAACAACTTATTTTTAACAGTTTTATTCAACCAGGGAACATTACCCTTTTTCCTTAATCTTTTTTATCTCTTCGGTGCGTGTTTGTCAAGCACTTGAAGAAATAAGGTTTTCCGCCATTCCCACATTTCATCTACGTTTTGTTTGCAGTCAAGCTCTACCCATGCATGGAAGCATATACGAGTCACTGAAAAAGCTTTCAACAATAAATTTCCTAAAGTTTCCAAATTCAACCGAATTTTGAGAATTTCCTTTAATGACGGAATTTAGTTTACGTGTTGCATAGATTAAACTATGATCACTTGTACCGAGATGCACCACGCCTGATTGAATAATTTTATCCGGAGAGGAAGTAATGCAAACATCAAGTACTGATTTCGTAGATTTAGTAACACGTGTAGGATCATCAATTATTTGTGTTAATTGGTACAGTTGCATTATTTCCTGAAGCATTTTAGCATTCGACAAATTTGAATCGAGTAGATTACAGTTCAGATCACCTAACATGTAAACTTCTTTGTTTTCACTATCCACTAGTTGAATTAGCCTTTCAATTTTTGAAAAGGTCTCAACAATAGTATTTGGTGGTCTATAAACACTCGAAAAAATGAAAGATTTACTATTGGCTTGCTTTATTTCCAAACAAACGGCTTCTAGATCGTTTGGAATTAAATCTGGACGGTTTTCATCGTTTATATGACACCTAACGTAGGGTAATGCAGGGCAAAATGAGACAGTGAGGCTAAATGAGACACTCCGACTCATTCGCACTTATATGACGTTCTATTTAATTATTTATACCACAATCATCGCAGGCTCAATCACAAACATTTTTGCTTGTATACTTCGTCGAAAACTGTGTCAAATTTGCACAAAAACAACGAGAAAATAACGATTTTTTAAACCAATTTGGATGATCGATCGGCAATTAAAGGTACGTTATTACTTAGCTATTTTAGCTAACCGGTTGTTATTTCTAGAACATCGCATGTATCGAATAAAACCTATTTGTTTGATGGGGTTTATAACATGGTCTTTCAAGTCACACGAGGTATTTTTGTCAATGGGCTATTCCATTTAATATCCGTACCCCCCCTGTCGAGGATCCCTGGAATTCTTCAGGGGTAAAGGGTTTTGAGCTTGGAATTCTTCAGGGGTAAAGTGTTTTGAGCTTGGAATTCTTCAGTGGTAAAGTGTTTTGAGTTTGGAATTCTTCAGGGGTAAATGATTTTGAGCTTGGAATTCTTCAGGGGTAAAGGGTTTTGAGCTTGGAATTCTTCAGGGGTAAAGAGGTTTGAGATTGAAATTTTTCAGAGCTTGGAATTCTTCAGGGGTGAAGGGTTTTGAGCTTGGAATTCTTCAGGGGTAAAAGGTTTTGAGCTTGAAATTCTTCAGGGGTAAACAGTTTTGAGCTTGGAATTTTGGAATTCTTCAGGGGTAAACAGTTTTGAGCTTGGAATTCTTCAGGGGTATGACAATGAAAAACATGTATCCTCAACAGGGGGGGTACGGATATTAAATGGAATAGCCCAATTTTCATCTATACTTTGATTTTTGGCGTGTTTATTTGACTGACTTGAGCTTATACCATTGAGGCAAAATGAGACAGCTGAGTCTAAACCAAGTAATATATATTTATTCATTGTGTTGCTGATCATTTCACCTTTTACTGTGCTCTACCTTATTGTCAATCTCTTAATATATATGATATAAATACTATCTTGGATTATTACCAGTACTATCTGTATTATATTCCTCAATTGTTGATTTAATACCACTTTCTCCTGCTTGCGAAAGTTAAAGGGTTTATGTTTCTGATTGAATCAATATGTACTTTTATTCTACAATTTATCATATGTTCATATGTCATATATTTTATGCTTTAAACAGCTTAGTCCATGTCACAAATCAAACTAACTTTTATTTTATTTAGGACGGTCAGGAACTATGTATGCAAAACTCAATGTGCAAACTGGAATGAGGATCAAATCCGTCTTGCCATCTCTGCAGTTGAGAAGAACTGTCGATACGAAAGCTTCAAATGCCCACAGGGATTAAATCGCCGAGTCAATGGTAGGCTACAAAATTTATCTTTTTGTGGTGAACGTTGGTCAAAGTCAATGCCTAACGAGGATCGATGACTTGTTCACAATGCAAACAATGGTGTCACGAAGAACGCTGTACTGTTACCGCAGCCAATGTGACCTGTGTGTGTGTGACATTGAACTTAAAAATGATTTGAAACATGTATTTTATAATTAGTTCTAAAGTTCTATTAAAATAAGTATAATTATATTGACTTTATTTTTAATTTTTAGCCCTGTCTCATTTTGCCTCACTGTGCCGGGGCAAGATGAGACAATTACCACTGCTAGGTTTTCCTCGATTTATCGCAAATAAATTATTTCAAACATTTTTTTTTGCTTTACATATCTTGCTGTGAGTCAACGTCACATACCCAAGTCAAAAAGAAAATTCAAATTGCTATGCCTTCCATTCTACAACAGTAAATGTCCTTAGGTGTCTCATTTTGCCCTGCATTACCACATACTCCCCCTCCATTTCGTTTTCGATCAGAGCGCACTATATCGTAACCCTCGATACTCATAAGGTCTTCCGAAATAGAGGAGTCAAGGCGAGTTTCATTTAGTGCCAAGACATCCAATTTTTTATCATGCAATAGCAGGCGAATTTCGGAAGGCTAGCTATTTTGAGCATGGCCATCCTAAAACCTCTTAATTTAGGAATATTTGACCAATTTGTCTCATTATCTTTTCCCCTCAGCCTCTTTCTTCATGAGCAGATATAAGATGAGCAGAAATCAGATGAGCAGATATCAATTCAATCAGAGATGTTACTATTTATTATATGCCAATGGTGAAATTTTACAAAAATAAGGTTATGAGAACACAAACAATCTGAGAGCGGATTACATACACAGGCTGCCTAACCGGGTTTCTTTCTGGTTAGGATGAAGAAGTCCGAGTGAAGAACACACTACATAATAAAAAGGCTAGAGGAAAGCCGAGGAAAGCTACAAAGCGAACTTTTAATAAAAGTGTTTCAATTCTTCCACAGTTAAGCCTTTTGAACGATGGTTTTTAAGGCGCATTTCAGCCCTCTTAATTGAAAAAAAAACTGACTAGGAAAATCAATTATGCATAATTCAAAATAAGTAAACTCAATGTTTATAACAATAAAAATGTTTTAAAATGTTAAAAAATATTAAGTTTGCCGATCTTGAATTATGCTCAATTGATTTTCGTAGTTAGTTTTTTCAATTAAAAGGGCTGAAATCACGGTTAATAGAAGAAGGATGGTTAGGCTAGCCGGCAAACTTCAAAGGGGGCGGCAAACTATGTTGAACACAAAGGAAAAAATGTCACGTGTCGAGATAGGGGGACGCTTGTGTTGACATTTGTAGGAAATTATATTGAAAGTGTTGGGTTAATACTGATAATAAAAGCATTTTTGTATCTTTTGGAGCATTTATAATGATGGATAGTGATATCGAAAGAGGAGTGATTTCTTCATCGATGCAGACATTTGAAAACAGTAATAATAAAAGCAAAGAGAGTTTTCAACGATCGGAAATGACGGTATCGTTTGGAAGATGAACGAGAGAGCGAATACGTAGATTTATAGACGAAGATTTTTATAGCATCGAGGCCCTTGTTACTATTAGCGGAAGAAAAACAGTTGTATTAAATACTGATTTTTCTGCTGCCCAATCGACAGTGAGAAGTCTTTTCAGTGCTACAGTATGTATGCGACAAATTTGCGACCTTAGTGCCAAATTACAAGGCATATATGCATATAGCTAGTAATTCAAAACACTTTACAACACATGGTCATGGGGAATCTATTGTACGAAGTATCTATGTGTTTATATATAAAGGTGCATTTACTTCTTTAGTTGATTGACATTGTAGAAGCTATACATTGTGAAAAGTACATTTCGATCGTTGGAAACAATGTGGGATGCGATATAAAAAAGTCGGGTGAATTCAACCGTGCCAAAGATTATATTATCGAGTATGAAAACGATGCAAAACGTGGTAAAGCCTTTGCCTTACTGTTAAACAGTAGTGAAAAGAAAGTGATATTATATATTTTATAAAATTTGTAACTATACAATTCATTTATCTTCTGCAATAACTCTGTTTTCATATTCAGATTAATTGAACCATAGGTTTGAAAATATAACAATGGGTTGGTAAATTTATGACTCCCAAAACTAATATATTATTTACAAATGCCTCTATGGTTAGTTGGTTAGGTTTTCACAATTACACTGCTATCATGATATAGTCATCATACAGGCCTTATCAAAGCAAACAATTCAAACCTGGTTAAGGGGCTGATTACATGGAGAGTTTTCAGCATGGCCGAGTTTCATCCTGGTTTCCCGGGCTGAAATTAAGAAATTTCAGAAATTTCTTTAAGAAATTTCAACCCGGCCTGTGAATAAAATCCTATTAAAACACAGCAAATGATTGCATGACAGAAATTTCAGCTTGGGCTGAAGTTTTAGCCCGGTTGGAGCTACACGGGCTGAAAATTTCAACGCGGTTGGCCGGGCTGAAAATCGCCATGTAATCGACAGGAAAATTCAACCCAGGTTGAAAAAACAGCATTTAAGTGGCTTTATTTCTGTCTGTTCTACTTTTAAATGCAACCACACTCTTGCAGAAGTCAATAGATATGAACAACATTTTAAATTCTCCAAAGAAGCAGAATACCTCCATTTTGAGACTTCATTCTTTCGGCCCGGGCTGAGATTTCACCCCGGTTTGAATTGAAATTTTAACTTACCCCGGGCTGAACTTTTTCATGTAATCGTGAAACAATTTCAGCTCGGTTAACTGGGTTGAAATTCAGCCCGGGCTGAAAACTCCCCATGTCATCAGCCCCTAAGACATGTTGAACCTGGAAGGCAGGTTTTGGCAGGCATGAAATCCCTGCATGGCCCTAATGAATTAACCATTAACTTGCAATTGCTTCTCTTTCAAAAAAATATAATGTAGGGTGCATTTGCTGGACACATTGCAAGCTCACCCACTAGTGAATTAACAAGCGGCACTGACAGATTGCCAATGACAAGTAAAATTGGGTGGTGTCAGTATGGAAACAAAGTATGGGCAAAGTAAACAAAGTAATCTGATAAAAATTAGAACAAAACATACGTGAAAATGGTTTAGAATCTTCTTTGAATATTAAACTTGTACATTTCCAGTCAATGTATACAATTTGCTATTTCCAGTGTATTTAAATTCAGTATCTATAAGTATCTACAAGTGTTCAACCCAGAGCCAATAGGCCATACAATTTTGCATGCCAATTTCACGACTAGTCAGTTCTCTCAGAGTGAGGTCAGAGATCTGCCAATTGAAGAACTTCACCCTGCAAATCCCAAATTTAATGAACAACCATCCCAGGGTGGATATCAATAGTTGTTAATAACCGATTAACAGCAGTATTCTTCCACTGAGTAAAATTTTATTGCTTTAGACGGAGTAAAATGCCAATTTGAAAGTAGGTGCATCTGCATGCATTTCCAGTTGATGTGTAGATTATGTAATGGTGATAGACAATAAATATTCTTCAACAGTCTTAAATTTCAGTAAGTATGTAGTTACAGTAGTCTGGTACAATGTTATAATTTCTAAAGAAGTGAATAATGATGAGGTGAAATTTGCATAGCGGGTCCAAATCGTCGGGCTTACTATGCCACTGCTAGCAACTGAACATGCAGAAATGCCATACATTATAATATAATGGTTTTTTGAGGATACTAATTGAAAATTCAATAACAGATATCAGTTTGACTATTCCAAATGTTACTTTTAATAGTCCACTACACAGTACACATCAACTAGAAATCACTATCAATGACAAGTAAAATTGTCTGGAGTTGTCTTGTTGGCAGAGCAAATACCAAAGTACGCTGCATAGGCACATGATTTGGGCTGATACGTTTGTAATATTAGTTCAATTTACTTCATTTGTTTGTTTCGCATCAATACGTTCGCACCGACGTCAGATCTCTTTAATAATAGCGGCCTTAGCAATTCTACTCGAGCTGTTCTCCATCCGTCGTCCTAAAACCACTGGGTATTTTATCGTTCATTGTGTCTACCGCAACTCTCACGACCAAAAGCAGAGCAGTTTTTCCCGGACAAACTCCAAAAGTATCGTCTTTAAGTATGAAAATCCTCGAACACTTGAGAATGGAATATGTGAATATACACTTAGTATAGCGTGGTTATATCTCAAAACCAATCAACAATACCTTTAAAACTTGTGAATACGATCAGATCATTCCGAACTTTGAAGTATAAATCAAATCCGTGATCAAATCAGGCGTATACAATCGAAAATACGTAAATTTATACATCACAAAAGCCATGTCAACAATATATTTTCTATTACACTCCTGCGAAGCGTCCCCCTATCTCGTCACGTGACATGAATAAAATCAGAACAATAACATATTTGTCACGTGGTGCAGCTAGCCTAACCATCCTTCTTCTATTAACCGTGTTGAAATGCACCTTAAAAACCATCATTCAAAAGGCTGAAGGCCTCGCGTGACTTTCCCCTACATTTTTACAAATGTACAATGCCATATAATAAAACA